ACAGAGATATCGCTTCTGATCACCTAATTTTCAGTTGGTTCCTATTTGGTTCCACCAATTGAAATTTTTTTGCGTGTATTATATTCATCCGACCTTGTGCTTCCTCGGATTACCATCGCTTATTATACAAAATTTCCTTAACAAACTTATACATTTATAAATACATATAAACTTCGCTTCTTTAGAAGGTGTGATTTTTCTTCACTTACAACAATCACTTTGAACAAAATCACTTAGACAAAAATCACTTGAAACATTTCTTTGGCGAAACAACGCAAGAGTTTTACGAGAAGGGAATAATGAAATTACATGAAAGGTAGCAAAAAATTGTCGAACAGAAGGTCGCATATAGTATTAATTAAAATTTGTTCTAACAAGAATAAAATGCACTCCAATTTTGTTTAAAAGTCCGCACGAATTTATGGATCAAGCATCAATATTTTACGGATCTCGCGGAAAAGGGCTTCTCGCCCTCTCCCAGGAACCCTTTCTGCGCCGCTTGCCGTTGCGGAACGCTCAATAAGCGCTTCTCATCATTATCATCATCATTATCATCACCATCATCATCATTATCGCTGAGTCGTGACGTCAGCGAACGAGAGAACTACACACGGTAGTTAAATGCCGCGCAAATGAAAGAATCTAGGGGGAAAGTTTCGACGAGGTGTAATCTGGACGATCCGCTCGCAGAAACTCGTATAATGTCGGTGTAACGAGGAGTCCGGGATAATCTTTTCCTCATTTATTTTTTGCTTTATTTTACGTTTCCGCGTTTAGCCCCTTTCACGTTTGAAGCGTGCCATTAATTGCCGGCGTTGATCGCGTGCCCGGCATAGGCGCTCGAGAGTGAAAGACGACGCTTCCGTTCTCGTTCCGTCGTCGTCGTAAGGATATATCATTTCCTTCTCCGTGTCGGCCATCGTAAACAACATCAGCGCGCTTCTCGGTCGGCTACAGCCATCCGGCTCGTCCCAGTTCCGTGGTAAATTCGCAATTAGGGTAAAGATACTGATCATAGAATAGACAGATAATATGACACAGGAACTCATTTTTTTTTTAACACCGCATTCTCTGGAAACATTTCTTACGAAACCCTTCATATGTAACGCTGAATGCCAGACGCGAAACGTTTATGGAAATATAAATGACGAAAACGGCTCTACTTTCGCTTCGCCTGAAAATTAGATCTTGTGGCAATTGACTCGCTCTAGCTTGTTAAAATAAGTTCACTAATGTTTATGTTCAATACATGTTTTTAGTATAATTGTATTAATAATGTTTTGCTATTTAATTACTATTCCTAACCTTCTTAATGACATGGGGAATAGTTTGGTTTGTTATGTAAGACAAACTGAAATGATATTAATTTAACTACAAGGCAATCTTAAAATAACCAAGAAAACCTTGTATTAATGTTTAAGATTTAATAAAAGTCTTGGAAAGTCTTAAGTCACATCTTAAGATCATGATAACATCGCTAGTCTTTAGTAACATAATTAGAAACTTTTTGAATTTAATGTTGGTGCAATATTTTTGTGCTATGTAAGGTGGACCATTGAAGAAATAATTAACAATCTAAAGAATTAGCCTAAAAAATGAGACAAATTTTCTTCTGTTTTATTCTATTGTTTATTGTACTGATAGTGTTGTTATTGCTAAAATGTTGCTAAGATATCTCAGAAAATTACATTTTTTTGCATGGAAATAGAATGTAATTGTAATGTTCTCCATCGATGAGTTAATATTGCTAAAACGTCAGATAAGATGGTAAGATAGTAATAGTTAATTTTAATAGATACTGAAATAATATTAATTTAACCACAAGGCAATCTTGAAATAATAAAAAAACCTTATATTAATGTTTAAGATTTAATAAAAGTCCTGTAAAATAACATCTTAAGATCATGATACCATCGCTACCATCTTTAGTAACATAATTACAAGTTTTTTCAATTTAATGTTGGTACAATATTTTTGCGGACTGGACAATTAGAAAAATAGATAATTAACAATCTAAAGAATTTGCATTAAAAAATCAGACAAATTTTCTTCTGTTTTATTTTATTTTTTATTATGTTTCTTATGTTTCGTTTCCGTTTTCTGGTTTATTATGTTTATTTTTCACGTAAGGTGCACATGCTATCTTTTAATAAATAATTGCAGTTCTTTCAATGTACAAAATAATTTGTTCACTGATTCTAAACAATGCTTTTTCAAACATAAAAAGATTTGCACTTTATTAATTGTGTTATTATCTAATTTCTTATCTTTATCTTATTTCTTTGTTTTTTATATTATTTTTAATATATCATTTCTTATTCTTATCTTATTTTTTATTCTTTATCTTATTTTTTATCTTATTTCTTGAATTTTCTTATTATGGTCAATATTATCATCCATTCTTTCGTGTGGTTATCTGATTTTCTTGTTTATTATGTTTTTATTAACGTTCAAGTTGTAGTTAAATTTTCGATATTCTTCGTTGAACTTTATAGGTACTACGCCTCTCAATGTCTACGCTATTAGAAAGTTGAAATAATCATTTGCATTGCAGCAATGTACGTGTGTATGTGTGCACTGAGAAAAAATATAAAATTATAAAAAACTAACAAACAGATATTTCCGACCAATTTTTATATCCGATCAAATTTAATCGGATACTTCCGCTAAAAATGGCATTTTATCAGATAAACCGATCAAACAATTATGAACCGATATTTCTTATTGAATATAAAAATTCATCGGTATTTTGATTGAAAATATACGTTTGTTAATTTTTTATCGGATAATTTCTTTCAGTCTGTGCGTGTTGATTTAAGAAAAAGGTATTTTATAATCGATCAAATTTAATCGGATACTTCCGCTAAAAATGGCATTTCATCAGATAAACTGATCAAAAAATTATGAACCGATATTTCTTATTGAATATAAAAATTCATCGGTATTTTGATTGAAAATATACGTTTGTTAATTTTTTATCGGATAATTTCTTTCAGTCTGTGCGTGTTGATTTAAGAAAAAGGTATTTTATAATCGATCAAATTTAATCGGATACTTCCGCTAAAAATGGCATTTCATCAGATAAACTGATCAAAAAATTATGAACCGATATTTCTTATTGAATATAAAAATTCATCGGTATTTTGATTGAAAATATACGTTTGTTAATTTTTTATCGGATAATTTCTTTCAGTCTGTGCGTGTTGATTTAAGAAAAAGGTATTTTATAATCGATCAAATTTAATCGGATACTTCCGCTAAAAATGGCATTTCATCAGATAAACTGATCAAAAAATTATGAACCGATATTTCTTATTGAATATAAAAATTCATCGGTATTTTGATTGAAAATATACGTTTGTTAATTTTTTATCGGATAATTTCTTTCAGTCTGTGCGTGTTGATTTAAGAAAAAGGTATTTTATAATCGATCAAATTTAATCGGATACTTCCGCTAAAAATGGCATTTCATCAGATAAACTGATCAAAAAATTATGAACCGATATTTCTTATTGAATATAAAAATTCATCGGTATTTTGATTGAAAATATACGTTTGTTAATTTTTTATCGGATAATTTCTTTCAGTCTGTGCGTGTTGATTTAAGAAAAAGATATTTCATAATCGGTCCCGTTTCTATACTCTGGGAAATCTCGAGATTCTGATGTTTCGAGACAATCCATGTCCAGCCAACTTTCTTCTTGTCTCCGCGCTCCCGTCCACGCTCTGCCTCGGAGCGCGAGCTACCTGTTAATCGATTCTGCACCGATGCGACCGCAGGCTGATGAACCTCCTGAGCGAGGAGGTCGCGAGAGAGCTTACGCGCTTGACATATCTTCGCGGGTGCCCGAAGCATCGGAGCGGTTCCGTCGCCGGATTAACGGGAGAATCGAGCTGCCCCGCCTCACCTCAGGGAGGACCGCAGGACCGTGGATAGGAGGCGAAGGAGCGCGAAGGAGGCCGAAAAGGGGGGGACGGTATAGACGGGCGAGAGAGGGCACGCCGAGGAAGGGGACGGGCCGCGGGCGGCGGGGGGCCCGGCAGGGTGGAGGGGGGGGGGCGGGAGAGGAGGAACACGCTCTCCTCCGGTGCACACTCTCGTGGTGACTCCGACCGGCAAAGTGCTCGCGTTCGTGAAAGTCCACAGACGACTTTCAGGGTCGTCTGCTCCGCGCTCGTCGTTCCGTCCCGAAGAGCCGGCCTCGCGCGCTCTCGTCGAGAGAAGGAGCTGTCTCGGGACGAGAGGAAGACATCCTCGCATTGCCGCGAGTTTCGCGTGTGAGGCGCGAGGACCCGCGATATTACCTACACTCCTAAGGGAACCTCATAGAAAGAGAGTAAGAGAGAGAGAGAGAGAGAGAGAGACGCGGGGTGACTGTGAGCTTTGGAAGGTGTGCTCTTGCGCGAGGAGTATAAAGGATTCGGGAAGGTGCTCGACGGGTCCCCCTTGGAGAGGATTCGGACGCGCGACCCTCGTCCGCTACGCGGTCGCGTCCGTGACCTGGCCCGATGCGACGTCGATCTGGTCACAGTGTTTCATCGAGGGAAGCCCGGTTTGGTCCTCGCACACTCCACGGCGATATGAGCCGTGGCTTCTGCTCGGAGTCGTGTGCAAGCGATGTGAATTTGTGAAGGACCCGCGCGACTCGTCGATCCGCAGCTCTCCCAGCTCTCTCTGTTCCTCGTTCATTCGTTCAGAAACGACGAGAGCATCTCGAACATCTGACACGATCTCTCTCACACGCCCGTCGGTCCCAAGAATACCGATGAGCCTATTGGGTGCTCCTTCTAGTGTCGATCTCAGAGATCCCGGTGAAGCCAGGTAGCCGTGGTGCTGCGTGCGACGTGGAGCGCGCGCGTCACACACGTACACGCGCGCAGCGGACGCTCGAGGATCAGGGATCAGGCTGGAGTCGACGGTAGCCGTTGGGCTGGTTCGATAGACGCGAATAATAATAGGTTGGTGCTTGTACGCTTAACCGTGCGTGTCTCAACGCCGCGCGACGCGCCTACGTTCCTCTACCGAGCCCGGGGAGATCGCGCAAGAGAGAAGAACTAACGACGTCCACCGTTCCCCCGGAGGAAACAGAGGCCGTGTAACGTATCCGTCTGTCTCTGACTCCCCCTCTCTTTCTCTCCGAACGTCCAAACGTGAGATCTCCAGCCTACCATTAATTGTTATACATACCGATCTGTAGTCAGGAGCCACCCTGTGCGTTCTATATAAACGCACAACGCAGCGTGAGCGATCAATTTCGGCGAGACACGATACCCGCTCGTCTTCAAGATTCCGTTCCTCGCGAAGATGACGTCCCGCCTGCGCGGCCCCTCGGCGGTGAAGGACACGCCGAGGGCCGCCCCCTTCGCCAAGGATCACTTCCATCGCGAGCCGGAAGTGCACTCCGGCCGCTTGTGCAAGAACGGCGGGCGCGGCAATCGTTATCACTTTGGCATGTCGAAGCATGACAACAAGGCGGAGCGGAACGGGCGGGAATGCGGCAAGGAGGATACCATGGAGGAGGATAGCGCCGACCTCTTGTACAGGAAGAGCAGGCAGCACTTCGGCACGTGGGAGATCAAGGACATCGTGCAGGACGACGGCGTCGGTAGCGGCGGTGCGAAGAGGTCGTCGCGGCGACAAGAGCACGAGGACTCGCGACTGACCAATGGAAAATTCAGGAGCGAGCCCGTGGGCGCAAAGCTGAACAAGTCGCAGCAGGACCGCCTGGAGTATCGGGATGAAGGATACGTGGGTTCCTTACCGCGAGAAGATCGCCCGCGGGGCGAATCCGTCGAGCGAGAGGCTCTCAACGGCTCTCATAGATCCAAGAAGAAAGAGCCTTTTTCTTGGGAGGATACGGAGCCACGGGGTCGCGGGAGGTCATCGAAAGTCGGCAGGAGCAACGACAATAGGGACGACGCGCAGCAGCAGCCGCTCGACGAGCGGGACATCCTGCTGAAGGAGATCGAGAGTCTGGCTGTGGACGGCACCCAGTCGCCGGATCGCAGAATCCAGGCGATGATCGAGCGGCTGAAGTCGCGGGAGGAGAACAAGCTACGCTCTAGGAGGGAGCAGAGATCACCCAGTCCCGAGAAGGTCGATAATCGATCCAGCGAACGCGGCAAGAGGCCGAAGGACGATCACGAGGACGAGTTTAGGCCGAGCGAGTCCAAGTTACAGCCCAATCGTGAGGAGATTGTTGGACGACACGATCGATCGGCGGAGCGGCAGTCGAGGAGTGCGGAGAGACAACAGAGCGAGGTCCTGCTGTCTGACAAGGAGCGTGAGCTTCGCAGGAACGACAGTTTCCGGAAAAGGAGCGACACTTACAACGCCGAAAAGACTCATCACAGGAGATCGAAGGAGGATGAGGACGAGGATCAGTCGCGGCCGAGAGACAGCTCGAAGAGGAGAAGCTACACTTATGAGGGCTCGCCGGAGAATTTTGACGTGAGGATACAAAGATACGACCGAGCCCTCCTCGAACCCAGAAGGGACTTGGACCGAAGAAGTTCGCCCAAGGATCCGAGCCTGATCAGGAAAGAGTCTCTGAAGGAACATGATCGAGAGCCTGTTAGCAAGAAGAATTCCTTCCGAGCGGAATCCAAAAGGACCAGCAGCAAGGACCGCGAGTCCAGTCTGACGAGAAGGACGTCGTTCAAGGATCAGAATAACGATGTCTATAAGAGACATGTTTCGAAGAATCCGCTCGAGATCTCCGTTAAAAGTACGTATTTCGGCAAGGACCAAGAGGATTTGTGTCGCAAGGATTCTTTCAAGGATACAAACGTGGAAACAGGCAGGAAGGGTTTTCTCAAAATGCAGGAGAGTGCGTTTGAAAGAACCTATCTGAAGGATTCCACGCACGACGACGTGGAGCGGAAAGTTTCTTCCAAGGAGCATTCAGGTGGCGTCAGCAGGATCGTGCTGAGGAATTTCGATGACGAATCAGGCAGGAGCAACTCGTTGAAGCACACTAGCGAGAATTCCGGTAAGAGGAATTCGTTTAAGGAAAAGAGCATCGAGTTCGGCGGAGTTTCATACAAGGACCACGCGAATGACTCAGAGAAGAGGAACAGTTTCAAGGAGGACGAGGAGGGGAGTCCCGGCCGAACGCTCTATCACGATTACGATAACAACATCGACAGGAAGACCGCGAACGAGCGGTACATCGAGTTCGGCAAGGTATCCTTCAAGACGCAGGACGATGAGCTGCACGCCAGCCCGTTCAAGGAGACGGACAACGCGACGACGGTCAACAGAACGAGTTCCTTCAAGGAGCGCGACGCCTCCGCGAAGAGACGCGCGTCCCTGCGCAGCAGAGGTCGAGAGGAGCTCGACAAGAAATCAGACAGACACTCGAGGCCGCTGACGCCGCCGGGTCGGAAGGACGAGTCCTTAGAGAGCCGCGAGGACAGCGGCGGCAAGGATCCAAAAGGCTTTAGCGCCAAGTCCTGGTACGAGAGCAACCGGATGTTCTCCGCCAAGTACCTGCGGGAACACAGCAAAGTGCGTGGCGCGCCCGAAGGACAACTCGACGTCGACGTCTCGCCCGAGCGAGGACTCGCGCTCCTGCCGGACACGAAGACCGCGATCGAGGTGTTCGCGAATGATCCTGAGGAGCGGGAGGATCGCTCCGGGACGCGCGGCAAGGTCGACCCGGCCGACGGTGAGCCGCACTTCTCGGCCACCAGCGAGCGCAACGGCGCGACCATCATCAGGATACGATCCTCGGAGGACTCCACCGGCGCGGAGCGATCGCGCCGTCGGCGTCGCGTCGCGCAGGAAGTGTGCGCAGTGAGACGTCGCGTCAGGGCGTATGGGGACGAGGACGACGAGGACAGCGACGAGGACGAGGCGGAGGAGGAGGAGGAGGAGGAGGAGGAGGAGAAGAAGAAGGATCGCCGGCGGTGGACTCGAAGGGACGGCGGAGTCCTGCCGGGGAGGAACGCCGCCGGCGGCGGCAGCGTCGGCGACGCGACACCCTCGAGAACGATGTGGAATTACCGCGAAGGGGTATGGCACTTTCATGAGTCAATTGCATTCGATCGGTCCTTTATGGTACAGAGGCGCGAGGCGATTTTCATAAATCGCTGGAGGAGATGAGGCGAGACGTCGATCGTCGAGGATGATCAGCCGGTAGCCCGGCTGCTGTCTCTCTTCCTGTTTCTCCCCCCCCCCTCTCTCTCTCTCTTTTTCTCTCTCTCTCTCTTTCTCTTTCTCTTGCGTCCTCGCGACGATCACATTTCCGTCCTCACATTCGCCGGAGCGATCAGCTCTTGACCAGTCCGGGCGATCGGGTCGGTTTACACCGCTGGCTTACACCCTGGAATTCGACCGGCGGCTCGTCCCGTTCGTGTGCATTGTGAATTCAAGTGTGAATCCTCAGACCGACGTCTTCGTACTCTCTCTGAATCGCGCGGAGTGAAATCCCACTCGAAACGTGCGAACGAACATTCGCACGAGAGAGGCGACAGTGAAATTAATTCCGCCGCTCGGCATCGCGAGAGTGAATGTTTAACTGGAACTTGGAGTGGATTCTTTATCCATACGAGTGAATGTTTCTGTCGATCAGTGAATTTGTTCCTGTGACGGCGGAGTACAAAGACCGGCATGATATTAACACGCGGTATAATTAGGTCACTACACGGAGAGAATTTTGCAGTGAAAGTTGTTATAGAATTTCGTAACCGAGGAATACGGTCGAGACATATTCGACCGTAATTCATTATCCTTTCCTTTTACACACAGAGAAATGCATTCTGCATTCAATTAAATGTTACATTTGTTTCAAGTATTTCATAAGTTCGCATATCTACAAATTTATCGTAAATTTATGTCATAAGCATAAACAAATTTTATTTTAAATACATTCTAAATCTTAATAAACTTAGAACCTAATAAATCAAGAATACTAGATTTAAAAAATTCGATTTGCTTAAAATGTATATCACAAATTTTTCCTCGACAAAGTTTTATAACATTCTTGCAAAAAGAATAAATTCCTCTTTTGCGAACATGATAATGAGCTTTTCAAAATTTGTGATGTATATTTTAAGATTATTATAATAAAAATATCTTTTGTTGAAAAGATAATCATTATACTCAAAGGATGGAAAGCAAGCTAATTGCTTTTCTTATCATTAGAATGATATTTTTCTGTGTACGTCGTTTATATTTTAAGAACTGAGACACGTATCTACTATGAAAGAAATACATTATCGTTTAAAAACATGGTAAAATTTAAGAGCATTTAAATGAAAAAGAATTATAACACTTTCTCCGTGTAGTATTTCCTAATCCTACACACTTGTTTCTAGACATTAACATAAAACTATCATAGTGACAGATTACTTAACACATCGTTCCTGTTTGTTTCAATAATTAGATAAAAAATGGATCAATAATGCATACGATCTGAAAATCCTAATAGCCCAGATGCATTAGGTTTTATGTATGTCAATAAACATTAGAGAACAGCTGTTCAATTTTGAATGAAAATATTCACTTGACGATTTTGAGTGAAAAAATCATTCTGTATGAATGAAAAATAGAGATGTTATCGATATTCGAAACGATCGAATATTCGATATTATTTCAATGCGATATAACAGTTAAAAAAAATACGAATAAAAGGTCGAATAAGCACTTCTAAGCTAGAGAGTGAATATTTCATATGAAAAGTATATATTTTATAATAAGAGTATTAATATATTTAAGGTCATGGCACATAGGAATATATATGTATGCAGTAAAACGTATCAGTAAACCAATTGACCAATCACAGTCAAGGATTTCTGGAAAAATAACACTGCTCTCTATTTTGTTTATCTATAAATCTGAGCTTTTGGTTCATTTACATATCTCTATGCAATGTTAGTAAATACTTCTATAATACATGCGCAATGTTTTATATTAACAAATTAATATTTTCACTTCAATAAAGCTCAATTTTAATACAATAAATAAAATATTTCTTTCTCAATATTTTTATTGTATTAAGAACAGAAATATCGCAGTAAAGGTTTTTCGTAGGTTTTATCGAAAGTAAAGATTATTCGATATTTCATTCAATATACTGACTATTCAGTCGATATCCATATAAGTGCTCTCAAAATTGAACGAATACATTTAAACGCGATTTTTCTCGATATCGATGTCTCTGAAATGAAAAGTCACTTCACTTCGAGTGACTCGACTGACTCGCGTTACTTTTCGAGTAGAATTTCACTCGGAGAAATTTAGAGAGTGCTCCCTCATTGATGATTATTACATGTGCGATGATAAAGAAAAAAAAAAAGAAGAATCGCATAACAGTATCGCGTAGTCTCCGTTAAAGTAATATATATATATATATATATATATATATATATATATATATATATAGGTATATTTTTTATACACAAGATCAGCGCGAAAATAAATAGATTCAAGAGGAAAAGTTCGCGCGCGATACCGCGCGAACACGTCGGGGACTGGTTTGGTCCGCAATGTTGCGGCTCGTACGCATTTGGTGCGCTTGTTTATCGGCGATTTTCCGCGATCGCGTGGCGAGCGAGGAGTGGCATTGTTATCTCTGTTTCTCTCTTTTTCTCTCTCTTCCCCCCTTTTTCTCTTTCTCTCTCTTTCTCTCTCTCGGGTGAGTACGAGCGACCGAATGCGCCATGGAAGCTTTGCGCAACGTCGCGCGGCCTCGCGCGCTAAAATTGCAATTTGCCTGGAATCTCGCGATGGTCGCTTAACGACGGCCAGGGAAGAGTGAGAGAGAGAGAGAGAGAGAGAGAGAGAGAAAGAGAGAGAAAGAGAGTGCGATATATTTAAAAATTAAGTGGCTAGAGACGATAAGTTTCGTAACTCGCGCGAATGAATGCGAAAGTGTGAGACGACAAATTGTGTATAGAGCAGCGTTTCATTAAATTCGTCCTGAATAATCAATCTCTTCAATTTTATCCTCCAACCCTCGCGCGATTCGCGCTCACCTGCAACGCGAGATCGTCTCTTGGATACTGTGTACAGTATAATTTCAAGTGTACAGTAAGCTTCAATAAAACCTTAACATTCACCAGGCCAAAACTCATCAATTTTTCTGGTCGTTCCCATCGTGCACGAACGCAAAGTGCTACGATATAATATATTGGGAAAAAGAACCGGATAAAAAGAACTAAGTTTTGAGATCACGCAAATTTTGTTGCAATCGCAAGTCAAATTTGAAAAATAAATTCGAGTCTATTCAATAAGTTGACTTGGCAATTTGGACCATAAAATGTTGTTAACAATAAAAGATTAACGAAACTGAAACATTGCTGTATTCATGATATGTGTCTTTTCAATTTTACCACAAAAGATCTAACTGTATAACATAAATAATTCTATTTCTGGTTATAAGTTAAGTAAATAACATGGTAAATAGCCTAATAACGTGTTGAGTGTTGAGCTTTATTGTTGCTTAAACTAAATTTTTGTTTGCTTTATTGTTGCTTGAATTAAACTTTGTTTTCACAAATATGTTTTTTATCAATTTTTTTGGAGCAGATGAAAATTGTGAGGTGGTCTGTTTTGAAACTTGTTAAATTACAAGATTTTGCAACATTTCTGTCGACAACTATACATATGGTAAATCTTTGTATGTCAGATTAAAAAAGTATTCGAATACGCTACTAACTAATTATCATGATATATAAATTATGACATAAATTTTGACTTTATATCTTACTCATACATTGGAAAAAATTGTGTAAAGGAACTGACAAGGATTATTCACGAAATGTTACGTCTCTACCTCGCAAAGATGTATAAAGTGGTTCCGAAGGAGAAATACCATAGAAGGAGGAGAGGAATATTTTTTTCGAAATTTTTGAAGATCCCCGGTATTTTTTGTAAGAAAGCATGCATTTTTTATTGCATCTTGTAATGGATGTTAAAATGCATTGAAGCATATCTGAGTTATGACCCTGAGAACATCTTGAACATAAACAAAGCGGTTAAATTCCAAGACAGTATTCAGATAGTATTCGAAAAAATAAAAAAAAAAAATGCTTACGAAAAAATTCTCCTTCCATGGTATTTCTTCTTCAAAATCAAATTATGCTCTAAACATTTCATCATTAAAAATGAAGAAGATATTTATATGTTCTTCTTACTAGAACACCCTGTATATTTTTTAAAAATACTCGACAAGTTCAACGATATATAACATTGCTGTGTGTAATAAGAACATAGTTAAAAAATCGGAAAGACCAATAACTAGTGACTGCTTATAAATATATAACCTTTTATTCTGTTGACTTTATTGTAAAAAATTATATATTCATACGTAGTTATTAGTTTCATCATTAGTCAAATTTTGATCCCCGATTTTTGGTCAATGTTCTCTCAAGTTATGCGGTAATATTATTATATTTACAATATTAATTTACAATAATAATTTAGCAATATTAATATCGTCGAACTTGTCTCGGGGTAACTATTTCTCAGAAATATATATCTTTGAAAAGTAGACATAATATTTCTTGAACGTCCCTTGTGAGTTTCAAAGTTACAACATTGAGGTTGAGTCGGTTTAACTCGACTTGTTTTTGTATCTGTTATGCGTTAATAATAAGTCCTTACGCTTTAACTTTTAATCAATTACATCATTAAGCGATTACATATTATATATCCTTACATTCCACTGATCTTTTTTGTGTATGATATGATAGTAAATGATACTTCAAATTGTCAAAAAAGGACAGATTAGTCGAGTAATCAGCAATGATCGTAGACACTCGTACCCAGACACGATACGAACTATTAGAAAGACAAGTGAGTCTGTTGACCTGGTAAAGGTCAAAGGAGGCTCTATTTAAGCTCAGTGCATTCGCGGGCGCTTCTTCCTTTCTCGAGGCTGACTCGCTCTCGTTCCTCTTTTTTCGTAATCCTGTCGATCGCAACTTTATCGGCGTGCGCGCATGACTCGCGAGTTCCCTGACGAATTTCGCAAGGGCCACTTCGGCCCCATCCAGGAACGGGCGATTTAT